GCAGCCCCAACACTCTCTTTTCTCCCTTTCCTTTTTTCTTCTTCGGTGGAGATTACTCCCACATTGGAGATGGTTCGCAACCTTTAAAACTCTGTGAAGATAGTTCATGATAATTTGGTCCCAGTGTGGGGGGGGTGGGATGTGGGGAGGGAACCCAGTTTCCGAATGAGGTCATGGTTCTGATATAGATAATGACTAATCTGAATGAAAAGACGCTCATGACTTTTTTTTTTTTTTTTTTTTTGTGTGAAAGGGGTTTTGGGTGGCAGGATCAGGCTTTCTATGGCACAGCCAGCGTGGGGGTGACTGGTCCTCGTAACTCCCTAACACCCTTCCCTAAGCGCGCACGACTTAGGGACTTTCGTCCCGGCTTTGTGAGCTCAGACTCCTGTTCAGTGCACTCGGTCAAGGATTGCCCTACCAATCTGGGAGATGAACTCCGTGTACCCAGTCCCTCGGGCGCTTACTCCCCCCTGGGATCATTACACTGGCAAGGACCCTTAGCTTGATGAACAGTGGGCTCGAGACACACTAGACCGCATTTTTTGTAGTTTAAGGGGTTGTCACATAACTATGAAGTAAAAGAACACACTTTGCAAAACAAGCGGTAAAGATTAGAAAACAAGCCAAACATGAGGGGCACACTGAAACCATTCATTTTTTATCCTTCTTTTTTAACTCCCCCTTCACCGTGCGTCTCACGTACAAGACTCGCCACGTTCATGAGGTTGAGCGCGAGCTGGCCGCATCCCCGTGTGCCATAGCGGCCCACTCGTACGCTGTGAGAAAGAGGCAGAGTAAAGGGGGAGGTGATAACCACAGAGAGTAGAGATGAAGAGAAGACCAGCAAATAACAAAAAAGGGAAAGCAAGGGAAAGTATGGAGTGTGGAATGAAGATGAAGGCAAAGGAGAGGATAAGAAAAGCCTCAAGAATGAGTCCGTCCTTGACGACAGAGAGGGCACACATTGTAAGGATGATGTGGATGGGCACATGGAAGACCTAGCTGAGCATTCTCAGCACAACAATTGCCACGAGGGCTGGCATTGAGCATGCCCACCATACACTCCCGACAAATGGCATGTCGATTGCAGGCCAAAATGAAGGAAGAACGCTCACCACAAAAAAACATGCATTTAGTACAACGCCCATGGCCGCAAAATGGACACAGTGTGTCCGGATGCGGAGGGTGCCTGCAGTCAGGAAGAGAGACAATCCTCTACAGTGTCTACACACATGGATGCAGAAACCATGTCATTGTAGTGATTGCGACAGAGACGATGGCGGCTACAGCCGAGTGTAACAGTGTTTGTATCTGTGCAAAGGAGAAGGTAGCAGAGTGTTGGTACATTGTCCTGCTGCAGCATGGGATCAGGGGAATAATCTTTGACATAAAAGAGATTGAGGACAGTTTGGTGTGACAAGAAAACATCATCATTATGTAAGAAATCAGTAACATCAGTCATGTCATGGACCATGATGCCATTGTCCCACAACTCCCAGTGGTCAGAGGTATGTACAATGCCATGTAATGGCCAGATCTGTGCGTAATGCAGGCAGAGATGTGGGATAGAGGATTAAACCACTCACCTACTCAAGCATTGTGTAGTTCAAGCTGGCGGTCCCTCATTGCTACTTGCAGGACAGCAATGGTAAAATCTCTTTCCCTGGTATAATTACAATCCTCTGGTTGTAGGCGGGGGAGATCAGCATCACGTTGAAGGGTGATTGCAAGGAAGTCTGATGGTGTACAAAATGGGCCGTGGAGAATGTGAAGACGGATATTAGCTGCCGTCAGACCACAACGATTGGTGAGGATCTCATGCTAGTGTGCTGGATGCTGGCCAACAATTTGCAGATCACTGAGATGGTGTTGCAAGCCCAAAATGTCTTGGGTTGTTTGCTGGTCAGTCATTTGCAGATCGCCCATGTGGTGTGCGCGTGGTGGGACACAAATTTGTGGTTCGTCCAGACGATGCTGGCCAGCCATTTGCAGATCCCCCATGTGGTCTACGCCTTGTGGGGTTAGCTGATCAGCATCGTTTGGATGAACCACACATTTGTGCCTCACCACGTGCAGACCACATGGGTGATCTGCAAATGACTGACCAGCAAACAACCCAAGACATTTTGGGCTTGCAACACCATCTGGGCGATCTGCAAATTGTTGGCCAGCATCCGGCACACCAGCCTGACATCCTCACCAATCTTTGTGGTCTGACTGCAACTAATATCTGTCTTCACATTCTCCACCGCCCGTTTTATACACCATCAGACTTCCTTGCAATCGCCCTTCAGCAATATATGAACATTGCAGCATCTGTGCGTCTATTTAGTCACCCCTAGTGGCCCCCCAATGATGCTATACCATGAAGCCCATCACCCCCTCTCTTTGTATTACTCTAATCGCGAAGGACCAGATCTTCCTAAGGGAGCAAGATGGCCACACCAGTTCATTGCCTCAGTTGAGTACTTCCAACTGCCCCTGTAAGGGAAAACAGTTTGCTGTTACAGAAATTCCACCTTTCCCCCCCCCAAAAAAAAAAGGTTTGAAAAGAGAGTCCCTGACAGAAGAACAAAAGGTCCTTCAGGACATCCACAAAAATTGGAACGAGACAGAGAAGATTGGAGTGGGCCCTGTGCAATTAAAGATGGCACACATAAATCGAGAAATGGTACGAAAGAACAAAAAACTGTTTGGATGCCCAGAAAAAGAAAGGATGTGTGGGTAAGGAAGTCGCATGTACTCCACTCGAATATACAAGCCCACTTAGCACAGTATTTTCGTCCGGGTTGAATCGCAATGTCCCCAACCTCACATTTCTGGTTAGCGGGGTAGTATAGGTGCCTACGGCCGACGCCTACCGTAGGCTGTAGGCGCCCTACCGGTCGGGCCAACCCATAGGCGACCTGCCTACCTGTCGGCACACTGCATTGCACTTTTTTTTCCCCCCCTGAGTACACGGCTGTTCTGCACTTCAGCAGAACGGCCCAAATCCGCAATTTGGGGGGTATTCAGGGGGTGTTTGGGGGGTTCTGTGGGGGAGGTTCAGAGGGTGTTTGGGGGGTGTTTTGGGGTTCTCTGGGGGAGGTTCAGGGTGTGTTTGGGGGTTGTACCGGGAGGCAGACAGGGGGTGTTTGGGGGTTTCGAGAATAGATGTAAAGAGGGGGTGTTTGGGGCGTTCGAGAAAAGAAGTTGCACTAGCAGCAGGACTTGCAGCAGCTAGAGAATGGGCTGCAACAGCCAGATTGCGGGATGCAACAAGAAGCCGATCATACTGAGGAGAACCAACGAAGCACTTCACACCATGTTGCTGCTCTCACTTTCGTAGAGCGTCGGTGCTCTGCTCTCATTTTTGTGGAGCCCACGAAGCTTCCCGGGGCCCAGCCTCTCCTGAAAGTTGGTCGGTGAGGCCGATGGCGCACGACAGGCCCGGTAGGACCCCCGCCATTTTTTTTTTCCCACCTGCGGGGTGCCTACCGGTCGCCTACCGGTCCACGCTGATGGCGCTTACCGTAGGCAGGTCGGCCGCCTACGGTTCCGGGGACGCCGACGGTCGGCCAGACTACCCTGCTTGTTAGCAATATATGATTCAACTTTCTCCAGAGTCCAAACCAAAAAAAAAAAGAAAGGAAAAAAAGGGCACTCAGTTCTTTGCAGGGATAGAATGTGGGGACCTCAGCTCTGTATCTGATGTGGAAACCAACTAGGTGCCAGCCACTACAATGACCTCCATGTCGTATTGGGGGGCGGGGGAGGACGGTTGGAGGCCCATGCTGAATGAAGACTGCTAGACGTCCTTTCCCTCCCTGGTCCCCTTTCCTTTTTCTTTCTTATAAATCCATTCACAGACTATTACACTGCGAAATATCAAGGAGCTCCTAGAAGACAGCGGGATGAGTACAGGGGTTTAAGGGGGGGGG